CTATGTGAGACAACAATTTGTGATTGAGTTGAAAATATTTAAAATCATAGATTATGGACCACAAAAATTCGGGAACTTTAGAGTATGCATAGCATACTTTATTTGGGACAACAATTTGTGATTCAATAAAAAACATTCAAAATCATGGATTAAATTCTACAGAAATACAGAAATTTTTTGGCATACACAAAATACTCTATACAGGATGACAACTTGTCAATTAGTCAAAACTGCCAAAATCACGGCTTACATATCATAGAAATTTGAAAATTTTAAAGTACACATAAAATATTTTATACCAGACGGGAATTTGTGATTTGGTCAAAAAAGCCAAAATCTTTGATTATTTTGGTGTGCATAAAATATTTTACAAGGGACAACTTATGATTTGGTCGAAAATAGCTAAAATCATAAATTATAGCCCACGAAAATTTAGAAGTTTTTTAGTATAAATAAAATATTCTATGCGAGAAGGCAACTGATGATTTATCAAAAATGACTACTCTCAAGATTATAGTCCACAGAAATCCTCAAAATTTGGGGTATGAATAAAATATTCTATGAGGGAAGACAATTTGTGATTTGGCTCAAAGTGACGACAATCATGGATTATAATCCACAAAAATTTGTGAAATTTGGAGTAGGTAACAAAATTCTATACGGGTTGGCAATTTTTGTATGGTTAATAGTTTATTATCTAGAAAAATTTGAGAGTTTAGAGCTTGTATAAATTTTTTTGGTGGGATGACAATTAATGATTTGTTTGAAAATGGTAAAAAGCATGCATTATAATCCACTAAAATTCTGAAATTTTAAAGTATGCACAAGATACACTATGGGGGACGACAACGTGCGATTTGATCAAAAATAGAAAAATCATGGGTTATAATTCATAGAAATTCAGCAATTTGGGGATAGGCATAAAATATTTAATGCAAGACGACTATGTGATTCGGCCAAAAAAGGGCCAAGGTTATGGGTAAATTTCGGATTATGCATACAATACTTGATGAGGGACGAAAATTTATGATTGGTCAAAAACAGCCAAAATTATAGGTTATTGTCCATAAAACTTCAAAAAAAATTGAGTACACAAATACTCTCTGTGGGACGGTAATTTGTGATATGGCTGAAATGAGCAAAATCATGGTTATATATATCCTTGAAAATTAGAGAATTTCAAGTATGCATAAAATATTCGTTGTCATGTGACAATATATGATTTGGTCGAAAAAAGCCAAAATTATGTGTTATAGTCCATAGAAATTCAAAAAGTTAGATTACAAATAAACTATTAGATGAGGAAAGGCAGTTTGTTATTTGATCAGAAAAGGTCACAATCATGGGATATAGTTCATAAAAATTCAAGAATTTTGAATTACACGCATAAAATATTCTACGCAAGACAACAATTTGTGATTTGGTAAAAAATGGCTACGATCATGAGTTATGGTCCACAAAAGTTCAGAAAATTTTAGAGTACACATGATATTCCCTACATATGACGGCAACTTGTGATTTGGTTCAAAATAGCTAAAATTATGGGTTACAGTCCACAAAATTTTACGGGGTGATAACTTGCGATTTGATCAAAATATTAAAAACGTGGGTTACAATCCATTAAAAATCTGGAACTTTTGGAGTATGCATAAAATCTGTCTTATTACAATTTTTTATATCATTGAAAACGGACAAATCATGGGTTATAAATATCCACAAAAATTGGAAATTTTGGAGCATGCATAAAATATTTTAAGTGGAACGGCTATTCGTGATCTGGTCGAAAATGGCAAAATTCATATATTATAGTCCATTGAGATTCTGAAATTTTGAAGTACACATAATATACTTTATGTGGGACGATAACTTGCAATTTGGTCGATAACGACAAAAATCATAGGTTATTAGCCCACAGAAACTAAGGAATTTTGATGTACACAAAATATTCTATGCCAACGACAATGGTCGAAAACGACCAAATCATTAGCTAATATTGGAGTATGCATAAAACACTTGATAAAGAATAGTAATTTGTGATTTGGTCGAGAACAGCCAGAATCATGGGTTATAATCCACCGAAATTTGAAAATTTTAGAATGCACATAAAGTAGCATATGCGGGAAGGTAATTTGTGATTCCGTCCAAAACGGTAATAATCATGAGTTATACTCCATAGAAATTCGGACAAACTGTGATTTGGTCGAAAACGACCAAGATCAAAAATTGTAGTCCATAGAATTCAAATACAGTATGCATAAAAAATTCGACCAAAATCATAGGTCATAGTCCACAAAACTTTAGAACTTCAGAGGCAAAATATTTTACACAGGACAGCAACTTGTGAATTGGTCAAAACGGCCAAAATTATAGATTTGTCCACAAAATTTTGAAATTTTTGTAGTAAGCATAAAAATTCAATTTATTTACAAAACAACTAATAACAAATTATAAAAAACGAGCAATCCAGGAAAAACTTGGTTGCCAAATTAGCAAGTGATCTAGACAATGACTTGACTCTCTTTCTCACATAGCCCACAATTTTTACCTTCAGCTAATGACAGAGATTTGAGGACAGATGGATAAACGAACACGAGTTAGGAACACAGATTCATTTGTTTAGTCTAAGCAATATTACAAAAAGCACTAGGCGGACTAGGTGTTTGAGACGAGGTCTAGTGCCTTGGCGTGCGCCTAGATGTCTAGGTGTTTGACTATTTCTTAAATTGTTTAATTATAATAACTGACAAAAACATGAATTTAAGTTCATGAAACATTAATAATAAATAGCAACCTTAGATCCATAATCAACCATGCATAAAAATAAATTGTTAAATTTTTTAACAAAAACAGTGAATTAAAACAAAATTAACTAAAATTGAACACTGAATAAAATAAAAAAAGTGGAAAATAACAAAAAGTTAAATGACCTTCAATAGAGGGAGGAAAGGGTAGAGACTTGCCAGAGAAGGAGAGGTGGGGGGAGGAGGTTGCTAGTGTTTTTGAGCATATTGAAGAGGGAAAGATAATGGGAGGAGCGCCAGAGGGGGGATCGGAGAGGCCAAGACGGGATGAATAATGAGAAGCGCTAGAGTGCAAGGGAGAGGTGGGGGGAGGAGCGTCGATAGGGTTTTTTGAAGAGAGCGGAGGGACATAGAGAGATGGGGGGGGGAGAGAGAAAGAGTGGGTTTTTTGAGTTTTTAAGGGTGTGGGTCAGGTTTAAGGATGCAGGTCGGGTCGGTTTTTGGACATTTGGGTTTTTCCCCTTTAAAAGTTAGCCAGCCTGCTTAGGCGGACCACCTAGCTCTAGGCAGCGCCTAGGTGGCTGGAGGGCCACCTATGCCTAGGCGTCCGCCTAGGACGCCTTTTAAAACACTGAGTCGAAGTTGGACCCTAGTGTGGACTCCCCACCAGCAAGCTGCTTGATGCGCAATCAGCAGCTAAGAAACAAATTATTTTTTGATGGGTCCTCAGAAAAAATAAGTCATTGCTTAGAACACAAGGATTTGACCAAGCACCAAAGAACAAACAGCAAAGATAATAATAGCAGCAACCATGCACCCTCCTTGTCTACCCTAATGGTTCAAAAGAAAAAAAGACAAAAAGAAAAAGAAACGGATGCAGTGACCTTTTCACAATTTAAATTTGTAGACAATGTCTAATTTACTTGAGAATATGAATATATGTACGTAGACTGCAGACTCCATCCCCTGCACTACCAAATCAGAAGCTTACGTAGAAATGATAACGTCTTCAAACCAACATGCCTACAAACACACCTCAGCCTGAGTTCACTAGGCCTAGAGTTGCCAACCCCAGGTCTAATTTGGACTAAACAAATGATCCCAGGTTCCCAAGAAAGGTTCATTTTAAAAAATAAAGAAGCATGAGCAACAAATTTCGACCCAAATTGATGATGTTGACAGAACTTGATCATTTTCCTATAAATATATCTGAGGCCAATGTTTTACTTTTTGACTCCCGCGAAAAACACTAACCCTGCTAGCTGAGTTTTTTGCCTTTTTATCTAATTGTATCTATTATAAATTACCACATCAGAGATATCTTTATGACAAAAGGATAAATGACAGAATCATAATGTCGTCAGCAGAAAATTGAATCCCTTTCTACTCCTATGCAGAATATTCAATACTCCAAGAATCAATCATCTAAGCAAGCACACTGGACATGAACAAGTTTCAGAAAATATAGCATGACATGAGAGCAACTGTCTCCAAGTCAAAAAGACGAAATTTAGGGCAAAGGTCAGACAAAGATGAGAATCTTCATTGAACTATCAACCGATGCATAGTTATTGTGGCAACACATTATAATGTAGCTTCTAGGACATATCAAACATCTCAAGTACTAAGCACGATAAAGTTTGCACGCAGATGTAACATGTATTAGTCTAAAAACACAAATATGCTCTGTAACACCAATAAATTCTTTTTCTCACATTCATCAGCTACATGCATTGAATTTTTCGTAGCAATGATGGCCATCGGTTACTCTTTCAGAGTCGAAGGCTCTCATCAGAAAATGACAAGCATACATACACATTCACACTAAGTATACATGATATGAACCCGACAGTCAGTAGCAAACAGAACCATGAAAGGAAAAACCTCATAACCATATGTAAAGCGCCAAAATTTTACGAACAGAAAGTTGTAGGGCATGAGGCAATAAGGTTCAAGGGGCAAGAAAAAATTTGAGAATTTCCTAACAACCTAGCAAACACAACGTGTAGATCATGTGAAAAAGATGATAAAGCATAACTAATCAATTATACATCAAGAACTTGCCTCCAATGTATCATTCTGTACAATACTCAAAAGTCATTCTTAAAAAGATAATCAATATTTTCAAGGCGTGGAGTAAGGGTAACAAGCCTTGAATGGAGGATATGGGGATAAAGTCATGATATTCCAGCAGCAAGAGAGGACCGTACATTAGACAAATAACATAAGAGTGAAAAAAAAGGTTTAATTCACCAGTACCTCGTTGAGAGTGTGTATCAAAGTTCTTATCAGAGCCAAGTGACGGGAAATCTCCAGAGCTCAAAGTGAACCCACTACTTTTGGATAATACAGTTCCCTGTGATTACAATGGCAAATCAAGAATAAATGCTCATTAAACAGATTTTGAATTAACCATACATTCATACTAAGAATTGAATATATCATGAACCTATATATAGATATAGAATATTCACCGAAACTGAATTTTTTAAACAAAAGAAACATTGAGGAAAGTACCAATCTCCCAGCAGACCCTGCTGCAACCCACGAAGCAGTGTTATCAGCTAAATTATCCGCAAAGCGAGATAGCTGAGAGCTACCAGGTCTTGTCTCAGCACTTCGAGGACGTGTTGCTGCTGCTGATACCTGGCTCGATGTTAATATCCCTGATGCTGATGACGGACGAGAATTTGGGCCCCATGCATTAGAAACCGATTCAAGGGATTTATCACTGCCAGCAGTAGAAGGACGTGTTCCTCCTCCAGATGATGGACAGTGGCTTGGTGAGCCAGCACTTCCATCAGTACGAGGAGACAAAATACCAGAGGTACCCCATGCATTCGGTGCAGCCAAAGATGGTCGGCTTCCCCATGTGAGTGTACCCCTAAAATAATCAGCAAGAGCCACGTCATGCATGAGTATAAACTATATGAATATATTTCAAGTAAGAACAGAGTAAGTATTTTCAAGATATCTTGAGACGGTGTTGGTGAATCAACGCAGGCTTTGAAAAGGTTAGTTAAGCTTGGAAGGTGCATATCAGGTACAACTGCTTAGACTTCCTACATGCAACCCTATTAAGCAGGTTGAACGTCGCTCCTCCAGGGCCAGTTTTGCAACAGCAAAACCGCCGCCAAAAAGCATATAATTCTTAATGTTGTGATAAGCCAACAAGAAGATTATACACAACTTCTAAAGAAAATAAAAAAAATAATAATGTTAAAAGATGAAACTTACTTTGGTACGATTTCAACATTTGGGTCGAGCCCGTGGTTTTCCAACCTGAGACAAAAGTATGCTCGTGTCATTTGTAGGAGATAATTGACATGCAGATAATAAATATAATTCACGACCAGTGATGCTGGCAGAATTTGTTTTGAATAGCAAGTTACCTTTGGCTGGGTAAATTAATAGGCTTTGGGACTTTTCCCAAAACAGTGAGCTTCCGTGATGGAGCCAATCTGCAACATTAAAAGTATAAGACTGAATGTGAAGAAATCTTCTAGTGAACTATAAAGGAACAAAAGGGTACATTCAGAATGTCAGAGTTGACAAAAATATATAAGATAGCACAGATACAAACACATCTGAAAGAAATGAAAACACATTAACTTATAAAGCAAATGTTACACAGCAGTACTAAGTACTAACAACTGTTGAGAATAACTAATAAAATAGCACAGATACAAACACATCTAATAGAAATGAGGGGAAAAAAACATTAGCCTATAAAAGCAGATGTTACACAGCAGTACTAAAAACTGTTGACAAGAATCTATAAGCTAGCACAAATACAAAGACATCTGAAATAAATGATAATAAAATAATAATAATAACCTATAAAGCAAATATCACACAGCAGTACTAAAAATTGTTCAAAAAAAGTAATATTTAAATTAGACAGAATAAACAATATCCAACAAGAACAAGATGGAAATATTTATAAGTTAAGTTTTCCTTTCTTAAAAGCTAAAAGACGAAGCCCCGTCCTTATCAAACCAAAAAAAACTGAAAGCTGCATAACCCGGAGATGGAATATATTCATTTGAACAAGATGATCTACCATGAACCACCTGATCATAACATCGTGTCATAGATAATAAGATCATGGGTTAAGATGTGAATAGTAAGTTGTAATTGAATTGTAATCATGAAACATCATGTTTAATAAACAAATACAACTGATAGGAGTAATAGATGATTCAGTATGATATTCTTATACTGTACACGACCTAGGAAAAGCTACTTGAATCATAGAACAAATTCTGCCTATCAATCACACATAATGTGCCCTGACTTATTCTTTTTCCCAGGCATATGCCAGCTTACATCGAATTTCCCTCTTTTTGAACTGTATAATAACCAAAAAGAGCATCTGGAAATTCCCAAACCTTTGCTGCAAACATGTTTTCTTTCTGCCTTTTTCTTGCTTTAACCAATTTCATGCTTACTATACCAGTATACCATATACATGCATAAGCATATGATTCATAATACATTGTCGTCTGTAATTTTCTTACAACAAAAAGGTCAGCTATTGAACATAACTACTCAAGTAATCTCCAAAATAACGGACTGACATCTGGCACCAAACGTCAGTCGCAAGTTCCACTGGAGGAAATTTTGAGCAACCAAGAAGGCAGTGATAACAAAGAAATATCACATATATGCCTCATACATCTCATAGGATTTTTTTTAACTTGCTCATTTGTCTCATTTGTAGTTTGATTTGGAAGTTAGGAGAAGCTACATTAGAAGATTAGATGGATGTAAGTTAGGCTAAATATTAAGATATTATCCCTTAACTAGGTAGAAGGAAGAAATTATTTGAATATGCATGCCAACTTGGCCAGAGTCAAATTCTTTCACAATGTTGCTAGGATGATGCCTAGGCAACTGCGTAAGCGCTTCAGTCTTCAAGGAACTTTAGTTACGTTGCATTGTGCTAGGCCTCCCAAGCACTCAGACCGGCCTAGCCATTGTTTTGAACATTATTCTTTCCAGCTATGACAGCCAATTCAGGTTTAAAGGTTATTTTAAGGCTGGGGTCGGTTGGGTAATTTATCAAGTAGGAAGAAATGGGCATGTAATTCATAATTTATCAAATAAGAAATGGCTACCAAATTTTGCTATGTTTTTGTTATGTTTTTCCTAAGCATCAGTCATCATATGCAGAAAATGATTATTTTTTGTGTAGTAATCTGTATAAAAAATATATCTGTTTAGCAAACTAAAAAGAATTGATGATGATTGAGTTTTGATCCAATGATGACTCCAGTATATGTATCTTCCTCCGTTTCAGCCTTCTAAGTTTCTTCTTTTATTCTCGGTTTCCCTTATTCACATCCGAACTTGGATTCAATGCTATTGAAACTCTTATTTCTCTGTATAAACATATCCCATTTCAACATCTTTTGCAACATTGCACTCCCATCTAACATAGAACTTTTGAGCTCAACATGTCTGGAAGCACCCTAACATAGTTCACCACTTCAATTATCACTCCATGAACATATTGACATTGTAATTCAGTCTTTCCTTCTTAATTACTTCCTGACTGCAAACCATACAGAAAACTTTCTCACCAAACTTTTCCCTCATGGTCTCTTTTGAAACCAGTTCAAAATACAAATTGATGCAAAATTTTGCAATCCAATAGATTTTCCAAAATTGATTTGCCAACTTATGGTCGAACAGGTTCTTCATTTTCAATCTCCAACAGAGTCCAACTGGTTTATTTGGGCAACTAATTGGTTTAGTTACTTGACGGTTCCATAGCATATGTCTACTGTTTCTGATTCATTTAGGTGTGGAATTTTATCATTAGGTATCACTGTATCAGTTAATTTGAAGTTCTCTTTATAACAATTGTATGCCCAAGATCCCTTCGAGCCAATGTAGCACAATCAAAAGATTTGCAACATACAACACGCTCTCTTTTTGAATCACTTCTAAGAAAACAAGACATAAGGTAAATAATCAAGCATGTCGATTCTGTCAGTAGAAAACATAACGCATAAAATCCAAGCTACAGTAACACCACACATTCAATACATACCGTAACTAAGAAAACATAAAACAAAATAGGTTTGGAATGCAACCTTCGATCTCCTGTCAGCATACTTGAAGCCGTATTTCACCCGAATTTTCTGCAAACTTCTCCCACTAAACATACAATAAACCTGAAGGATTAAACGATATATATTAAACACTGACCCTCATAAAGGAAGCAACTGATTTCCAAATAAAAAATATTTGACATCTGCTCCAAACCAACAAACAACATAATGCTTGCTCATAAGAAGAAAAAGAAGTAATAAAACATAAAGCCACCAGTTTAATTTATTTGACAGTTGATACAAAAGAATTTTTTCCCTCCGAGTGATGACATACATTCAATCAAGTCCTATTTTTCCAGCTTTAACCAATGGACACTGTATTTTATGAAGCTTGCGTAGACTAATTGGGAGTCTCACTAAATTATATATTGAGACAAATCCGAGCAGAAAGGGTGGATTATCATATAAGGAATATGCATACAATTGTTTAGCCAACAATAGGAAGAAAGAAAGAAATGCCCATTGAAGAGTAGGTGATAAATTACAACAAGGGCTATCTAGCTAGTTAAAACATGCACAAAGGAGAAATTTTGATAGACTACTCCTTTTGCTTATTTTTATTGGTATAAACCTTCTGCAATCATGTCAACTGTCCTTTGGACTCCATTGCAATCTATAGTAAAAGGTCAAAATGAATCAATCGTGTAAAAAGGCACTGCTTTTCCCTATTTGGAGATTTTATTTGAGTGGTAACTATAACATAAAAGTGGTTGCTTTCGGTTCCAACTTGCTCTAGATTACACTTGGAGCCAGACAATACTAGCTTCTGTATAATAACCTAGAAGTGAACAAGACTCAACATTTTGTACACTCTCTAGATTGGCATATCATTTCCTCTATATTCAGTAACCAGTATGAAGCTTCTGTATTGACCAAACAGTTGCATCCCTGCACGTTGAAAACTATGAATAAACATTTCTCACTACATGCGAAAAAGTTAAAGTCGAGGACAGAATGGGAAGGTGTTCACTGGATACAAGAAACTAACACTCACGTTCTTACAAATGCACATAAACAAACATCATACACGGGTCTAAAAATTCCCCTATCAAACAATGAGCTTGATGTTAACTAATCAACGCATAATTAGTTAACAGCCAAAATAAGAACACGATAAGTTACAAACTGATCAATCCAAGAACAGTTACAATCATTAGTTATTGCACTAATCAGCTTTCCATATTAGTTAAATCATGCAAACAGTAACATTTATAAAAAGAAGCAAACTTTCTTCATTGCGAAGTTGCTCTCTGATCATACTCAATCAAATTTACATAAACTTAGCGAAATTTTTACCGGACGATCAAATCGCAGAATCTACACGAGCAATTGAGAGAGATCCCCAACAGCCGAACAAGAAACAAAGGTCGGAGCTTAACCCTAACCCTAGAGCGAAGAAGATCGAATTAAAACCCTAACCTCTCCTTTGAAATCAACCAAAGGATTGGTGTCGCTCGTTGCGATCGGAGTTGAGGCTGGAATCCAAATCGCCTATCGCGTGAGAACGTAGAGAGAGAGGGGGAGGGAGGAGAGAGGGGAGAGAGAGAGAGGAGAAAATGGAAGGAATATTGAGAAAAACAAAGTCGGTGACGTGTCAGAAAAGCTATCGTGAGCTTTCTTGTTCGCTGAGTCGTACTTCACAGGTACGTCACACCGCTACGAGTTATTCTAAAAGAGACCCAGATAAATCTTTGCCGAAGTGTTATGGGACCCACGATGTTCATAATAGATGGGGTTTATTTGTGGGTGTTTCTTCAAGAGCACACTGATTTTTCTCGTATGGGAATTTCGGCTTTCGACGTATAACAATGTTACTGTGGGTACACAGATTTGGTGCATCTTTGTTCGGGCTAGTAGGCTCTAAGTTATCTATCTAATGTATAATTTTATTATATAATAGTATTTTAGTTTGATTTGCATTAACACTTTATTAGATATCAAATCAGTTTTTCTAATCATAAAATTTATATATTTTATTTAGAGTAAATTTCACAAATGATCCAGGATAAAGCCCTCGAATTTTTAAAATGTCACAAAACTCTTTAAGTTTTAAGGTTCTCAGAAAACCACATTCAAACCCTAAAAACGTGAAATATAATTTTCATTGGCAAAAATATCACCATGCATAATTTTACTCATATGTGAAAAAGTACGAAGTAAGGATTATTGTCATTAAGAATGATTTTTTGAAAACTGTCGAAAGTTTACGGGGATTGAAATCGCCAAATATCTTTTTTATTTTGCAAGCTAATGGTTTTATCTAAAAAATGCCCAAATTAAAGTGGTTTTCTAAAAGGCTAAAAAACACTTAAATACCTTATATTTTCATCTTCCTTAATCTTATACACCCCAAACTGTAAAAGTTTGCGCTTACATAACCAGCTTGTTTAAACATGGCAAATTAGTATATTATGTTACTTGAATATCTGAGTATTCGCATGTTCTACTCACATGTCAATTATGGCTTTGTTTTACCCTAATTGATTTTTTTATTTGCAATTCTACCTACCTTTTTTACAATGGGAGGAGACTAATTTTAGCCAATGGTAATTTGGTCTTAACTCTAAAAAATTAGAAATTTTAATAGAAAAAATTGGTATCCTTTATATATATATTTCTCCTTCGTTACCTTGTTCTTGATCTAAATTGTAGTTGAGCTATGATTTAATTGTTTGCAAGAAACAACATTGGTAAAAAAAAAAACTTATAACACGGGTTAAGAAATCTTAGTTAGCTAATAATTTGTTTTGATAAATCCAAAGAGATGTATGACCTATATCTTCGCCTCCCATGGCCATGCTATTCATTAGCCTTTTGAGATGATACTTTAAGGTTTCGAATTTTATTATTAATTCATTATTCGTATAATTTTACTAAGCTAATAGCCAATTTAGTAATCAAAGTATTCTTTGTTAGACCCTAGGGGGGGTGATTAGGGTCTTATGCTAATCTAATCCGATTAAATGCCAATTAAAATTAATTAATAAGTTATCCTAGCAAGTATGAAATACAACAATATATATTAGCTAGGATAAGCAATATAAACAATGAGATATATTCTAGATGATGAATTATATATATATGCAAGGATATATAAACTAACACAAGGGGTAAACAATATGAACTAGATAGTGGATCATATAAATGAGCAATGTACACTTGGCGATATAAGATAAATGCAAAAACAAATACGCCGATGACAAACTCAAACACACGATATGATCACGGAGTTCGGACCTTCCGTCCTACGTCTCCGCTCCCCACTCCCGGGGAGAAATCCACTAACACAATCCGGTTTGGAAGCTGGAACTTCTTCTACACACTCGGTTTTCTAGCTAACCGAAAACTCTACAACTCACACTCTTGCAATCACACTCTACACCCACTAAGTGTTGGACCTAGCCGTGTCTCCCTCAAGTGCTCGGTTACAACCTCTCCCTAGGCACGTCAACCGACGCCACTCCTCTTGGGACGATCCCCGACTCTCACCACACACTCCTCACTCGGTGTACAAGTGTATTACAAAGTGATTCTCACAATAAGCACAAATATGACAAATGATTGTTCTCAAAACAAGGTGAGAACTCAATTAAGCACAACTCTTAGTCACAAACCCACAACCCCAAATTATACTATGAATGTAAATACAATAAGCTCAAAAGGTTGTGTGTGAACAAAGAGATATAAATCAAAACTAAACTCAATGTAGTTCTAGCTTAATAACAATGATAATCAAATATATAAAAAAGCTAGAAATAGAGTTTAGAAAACTTCTCAATATATCAAGAGTGGAGGGAGAAGAGTTGGATGCCCAAACACCAATAGATGATCTCCTCAAGCTCTTGTAGAATTGAATCACAAAAACAAACTCTCAATTTGCTTAAAAGCTTTTTAAACACACTTAAACCAAACTAAAACCCTTGTTAAAAACTTTATTAAACTTGATTAAAAACCCTCTTGGTTAGTTTGAGAGTTGAAGGCAATGGGGTACTTATACCCTCTCTCAACTCAGCCAAAAACCTGAGCAAAAGACAAAACACAACCCCAAGGCAACGGTCAAAAAACTAGCCGTTGGAAGCTGAAAACAACATCGTCGGTCGACCGGAAAATTCATCGGTCGACCGGAAAATTCATCGGTCGACCGGAAAATTCATCGGTCGACCGGAAAATTCATCGGTCGACCGGAAAATTCATCGGTCGACCGGAAAATTCATCGGTCGACCGGAAAATTCATCGGTCGACCGGAAAATTCATCGGTCGACCGGAAAATTCATCGGTCGACCGGAAAATTCATCGGTCGACCGGAAAATTTCATCGGTCGACCGAACCGGTCGACCGACAGACTTTCTGTCGCCCAGTGAACACGAGAGCTCAGGTTCGGTCGACCGGTTCGGTCGACCGAAAACTGACATACTCAAAACCTGATTTGCTGATTTTAAAAC